TTGTGAAAAGAATATTCATATCAGAACTTTTATTGTTTGTTTGTTTGTTTATATTTTTCAATACTAGGACTGAACCCAGAGCCTGAAGCTCTGAGCTACATCTCCAGCCCTTTCTTTATTTTTATTTTTAATTTTGAGACAGGGTCTTACTAAGTTGCCCATGCTGGTCTTGAATTTGAAATTCTTCTGTCTTGGCTTCCTAAAAGGCTGGAATTATAGATGTGTACTACCACATACAACACAAGAATATTTTACTTTAATATTAAACTCATGAGTCATAATCTAAACATAATAGTGTTTGTAATCAACAAAACAGGAAAAATTAAGAAATATTATTTTACATTAATGTTCATTCTTTTATTTAGTACCATGATAACTTGTTTTCTCAAGCTATATATCTTTATTATAATTAAAAAGATGAGTCCTGGGCTAGGGATGTGGCTCAAGCGCTAGCATGCTCGCCTGGCAYGCGGGGGGCGCTGGGTTTGATCTTCAGCACCACATAAAAATAAAAAGATGATGTGTCCACCGAAAACTAAAAAATAAATATCAAAAAATTTTTAAAAAAAGATTAGTCCTTTCTCTTAAAAAGCTCTATCTGAAATTCATAAATTATTTCCTTATATGTAGTGCCTGAAAGTGATAGATTATATGAGAATACTGTTGTGAGCTACTTTTTTAGTACATCAAGAAAATTTTTAGTATGCAGGGTTGAGAGGTTACAAAAGGGATCAGCTGATAAATTTTCTCTCTATCTACAAATGCTGTCCAGGTAATGCTGTCCAGTCCAGTGGCTTTATACCTATACATATACTGATGATTATCAAACTCCAGACTGGAATTCTTCCACTGAATCCAGATTTATCTCCAAACTGTCTCAATATTTCTCATGTGTCAATCTAATAGATACCTCAAACTTAATATGTCTAAAACCAATTTTGATTCCTGCTCTACTTCCAATTCCTGCACCAATTTTTTTCCTTCCTTAATCTATCACGGTTTAGGGTAGCTCCATTTTATCAGAGGTTCAGATCCAAATCTGGGAGGCATTCTTGATTACTCCCTTTCTCTTTATAACCCACATCTAATTAATCCATCAGAATATCCTTCAAATTACACCCAGTTCTAGTGCCACACCCTCACTCAGGTCACCATCATCTAACATGGACAATGACAAGAACTGTATGACAGATTACGGTTAACACAACAATGAGTGATTCTGTTAAAACATTAAATGATAACCTCTCATTGCTCTATTTAAAATCTCCCAATCATTTCCCATTTTATTCAATGTAAAATGGTATAAAAACTTTGCGCTGCTTGGCTTCCAACCCCTCTTCCCTGATTCTATTGCTATAGCTTTCCTAGTCTCTCTACACTAGCAGCCTGATACTAAACATATCAAGCACACTTCCATCTTAGGGACTTGCTATTCTTTCTGACTGGTTCACTACTCCTCCACATATATATAACTTAAATCCTCACATTCTTCAAGGTTCTGTTCAAAGGCTCTGCTTAAATGTCATACAAGAAAAACCTTCCCTAACTTCCCTCATCTAATACAGCACTTCTCCCATCTCAGTTTCTCAGTCCCCTTACCATGAGCTAAAAGAAGAGCCCTAGCTTCTACAGACATTATACAGTAGTTTAACTAAAGACAACTTTTCAGCAAATAAAATACTAAAACAATTAGCTTAGTTATAATAGATAAAACCAACTCCTTACTTTTTCACACCATTATTTACAAAATTACTATTACCCATAAGAGCAAGGAACAGTATCTTACATTGCAATTCTTTAGTATCTGATAACTAATGTTTCTAGAGGAATTAATATGTACTAGGCACTGTTCTACCTGCTTTAAGCATATTAACTCATGTAATCCTCACAATGAAGGTATAAAAACTACCAATTTCATCTTCATTATAAAAATAATAAAACAAGCCTGGCACAGTGGCGCACACCTGTAATCCCAGAGTCTCAGGAGGCTGAGAAAGGAGAATTTTTAGTTCAAAGCCAGCCTTGGCAACCTAGTGAGCAACTTAAGAGATCCTGTCTCAAAATAAAATATAAAAAGAACTAGGAATGTGGTTCAGTGGTTAAGCATCCCTGGATTCAATCCCTGAAACCAAACAAAAAGAAAACAGAAGTTAGGAAAATTGCTTACCCAAGGTTGCAGAGGTAGGTAGCTAGTGGTATAGACAGGATTCCAAACAACTCCAGATCCTGTATCCTTAATTATTATGTTATACTATCTCTTGGATGACTAAACATAGAATAGAGTGCTGGGGGAGAGGGCTTAGTTACCGTAATTAGAAAAAGACTCTTCAAGGGGGTAACATCTGGGATAAAGACTGAATGATGTACTCATAGCCAAGTGACCATGGGTAAAAGAGTCTCCCAGGCTTAAGAAATAGGCAACTAAGAAAGGACTAAGCTGGGAGGGGAGACAAAAAGAGAGGGGGTAAAAAGGTCACAGTGTTCAATAAGCAGAGTGATGCATAGAGAGATTAAAGAGATTTTTTAAAGGTGTTTGCACATGGAGGCCTTAATAAATGCTTTAGTAAGGGGTTGGTTTAATTCAAGTGGCCCCTTGAAAAAGAGTTAAATGAAGGACTGTTGCAATTAAAAGACTGAGAGTCATGATCCAACAGTTTCTATTGAGAACTTTCAGGATTAGTTCTCTTCACCCGAAGGACCCATGATTTGAGGGTCTTGATTTGGGGTTTTACTGCTTTCAGGGATATGATAAGTGAAATGATAGGACATGAGCACGTAATACTGATTAGGCTCACAGATGGATGTTGGCACTGTTCGAGTCACAGATATAAAAATGTCTGTTAAAAATAGTGTAGGTCAGCAAGCCTGCAGAATCTTAGTAGCAAATACAAACACATACAGCTGATGGATTGCACAATGTTACTTTGTGGGATAGAAATTAAAAAAAGAAAATTCACCAAAAACGTGAAATCAATCACTTAAGGAATTATTAAATCCCTCTAGGGAGCAATGATGGCTATTGTCCTCTCTAGGACATGTTTCACAAATGCATTTATTCTGAAAATGATACTCAGAAAACTACCAAAAGGAACATAGCAAGCCTATTCCCAGTACAGTTCCACACTGTGTATTTAATATTTACATGCACAGCATGGAACTGTACTAGGAAAAATGACTGAGCATTATCACCAATTGGTATAATGACCATGGAAGAGTATACACAACTCCACCTTTCCTTATTTGCAAAATATAAGAACAGAATATATATGCATTTCAATTCTTAAAACACATATGCACAATACCCTCTACAACCCTTCATTTGATGTATAAATCCAAAGATATAAAAAAGGTTAAATAAAAATAAGCTTAAAGTTTGTTTTAGTATCTCTGTATTTTAATATATAGGTTGATAAGTATAATGAAATGTAATCAATAGTTAGCTAAAGGGGATAAAAACTCAAATTCTGAAGCTAGATGTCAAATATCTGTGTACAAAGATTTATCAAATAACTTACATTTTGAGGATATGTATATATGGAATATTAAAGATATAACAAACATTTAAAAACAAACACTGAACTCTATATATAAATAAAACACTGGACTCGAGTTTTAACTGGATTTTTTTTTGGKGGGGGGGTACCAGGGATTGAATTCAGGGGCGCTGTATCACTGAGCCACATCCTAAGCCCTATTTTGTATTTTATTTAAAGACAGTGTCTCGCTGAATTGCTTAATGCCTCSCTTTTGCTGAAGCTGGCTTTGAACTTAAGATCCTCCTGCCTCAGCCTCTGGAGCTGCTGGGATTACAGGCAAGAGCCACCGCACCTGGCTTAACTGGATTTTTAATTACCCAAGTATCTGACTTTCAGTTTTATTCATTATAAAATTATGAACATAGGTGACCTTCCTGTTCTTAAATTCTAAATATTATTAGTCATGATTTGGTGGAAGGCCTTTTATCAAGACAATCTGGATATATAAAGGTTACATTTGGTATCAGTCAGCATTTAACATGATGAGTATGATACATCCATATAACATGTGAAGATCTATTACTTAGCCTCCCTTCAGAATTTTTTAAGTGAGTATTCAAATGTACAAAGAGTTCAATAGAAGTTAGTTGTATTCTATAGTGACATTATTTTCTAAAAAACAACCACTACTTGGGCTTTCTAGAGGATTCTATGCTTTGTTCATTTCCACATGTACCTATTTACAAAACTGAATTTCTTGCCTACCATTTGTATTTTAGTGTTGGGATTTATTTGTTTGTTTGTTTATGTGCTGGGGACTGAACCAAGGGTTTCATGCATCATGTTAAGCATATGCTGTATCACTGAGCTCTGTCCCAGTCCCTCTTATCTACCTTTTTTCGTTGGGGGGTGGGGGGGTACTGGGGATTGAACTCATGGGCACTCAACCACTGAGCCACATCCCCAGCCCTATTTTGTATTTTATTTAGAGACAGGGTCTCACTGAGTTGTTAAGCATCTTGCTTTTGCTCAGGCTGGCTTTGAACTCACGATCTTCCTGTACAGCCTCTAGAGTTACTGGGATTGCAGGTGTGCACCACTGCATCCAGCCCCTTTCCCACCTTTTAAAAATCAAGTATTCAAGTTAGAAACAGGAGACTATGAAAAATTGTCTCTAGTTAAAATAACCTCTTTTTCTTTTCTTCTTTTTTGGTACTGGGAATTGAATCCAGAGACACTTAATCATTGAGCTACATTCCCCAGGACCTTTTTATTTTGAGATAGGATCTCCCTAAGTTACTGAGATTGGCTTTGAACTTGGTATCCTCCTGCCTCAGCCTCCCAAGTGTACTACTGTGGTACTCAGCTTGATCAAAATTCTTTTATGAAATAGGATGCTTTTTCTCATTACTGAAACAAAAATATCAACCCAAAATAACAATCTGAAGAACACAGATTTAATGAATATCAAAAGTTTCAGACAACACATTTGAGTATGTTTTCTATAAGAATACTCCTTCTTACCTGATGAAGAACTTCCAGAGTAACGGGATAAAAGAGGTTTTCAATTATTATTCGGAGCACAGGGCTCTGTCCAGGTAGGACTGTGCCTTCATTGGAAGGAGCTCCAGGAAGGGCCAGGTTTCCTGACTGGACAGCACTGACAGCCTGCAATGCAGCTTGGGCTCTCTAGAGAACAATCCAAAATCAGGCTTTTTATTATATAAAAGCATTTAAATGAATCTTAAAAGCCAGCTGATACAAAAACAATATGAAGTAAGATAGTTAAATCACCCCCCACTTTATCTAGATGCATATAGCCTAAGTTCTCAATCAGTCAAAAATCCAACAAAGACCTATCTTATCACATTGATACAGTACTTAATAAAGTTGCTTAAGTTTACTTGATACAATTTGTATTTCCTAATTTTTAAAAGACAATGAGGAAGAAAAGAGCAAAGATCATGTAATAATCACTCAAGTCCCTCTTCTTCACTCTATTCCTTTCTATTCTCAAATAATTCAAGCATCTGGGTGGCATAAAATAAGTGTAAACAAGGAGAAAAGGGGGTGTGGTGGCCCAAAGTGGGGAAAAGAGGCCATTCATATAGGTAGGCATCCTGACATGAATCATCAGAGCCTAAGCAAGGTGAGGAAAGCATCCATATGGCAGAGCGGCCTGGTAAGGGGAATCTTAGCCCAAAGGTAAGGTAAGGAAGGATCTGTGTGGGGAATGGTTCAGTGTTGACGATCAGAACCTGAGAAACATGAGAAGAGTAAAGAAGGCATACAGAGGAAGGGGTACCTGGCCAAGACCATCAGGCCCAAGGAGAGTTCAGAGGGATCCATATGGTATTGATAGTCAAGATATGAAGACAGCCTAAGCAGGTAAAGAGGAGGTCCATGGGAAGTGGGTGAGCTGGTATGAAAAGTCAAGAGGCTAAAAAAGTCATTCAATAGAAGGACAGCCCGGCAAGTTGCTAAAAWTCATTCTCCATTAAAAAGAAACAAGGGAATCTAAAAATAGCTAATTCCAGAGCTGGGGCAGGAAAACCACAAGATAAATGTGAAATGTTTTTGTTTTTATGGTGTTTTTCTTGTTTTTGCCAGAATATAAAAAATATAGAAAGAATGGTAGAGATTTGTCCAAAGGATATAGAGACCAACATGAAGGGGTTCCTACTGGTCAAATGTGAGACATTTTGTGGATTAAAATAGTAATAATTATACAAAAAAATAATCCATGAAACAAAACAGGAACTCCGAAGTTCATGGTAAAAATTGAGTAATGAACAGTGTGTTTACAATGTCTTAAAATACCTGCCCATGGGGGTTGAGGTTATGGCTCAGTGGTAGAGCACTTGCCTGGCATGTGTGAGGCACTGGGTTCAAAACTCAGCACCACATAAAAATAAATAAATAAAAAGGTATTATATCCATCTACAACAACAAAAAATATTAAAAATAAAAAAACCTGCCCATAAAGTCCTATTCCCCCCSCCCTTTGTTTTCAGTGCTGAGGATGGAATTGAGGACCTTGTACATGTTAGGCAGGTGCTCTACTACTGAGCTACACCTCCAACCCTATTCCTCCCTCTTTTTAAGTACACTTGGTCTTCTGTGTCTGTGGGTTCTGTGTCCAACTATGAATTGAAAAATACTCAGAAAAAACCTGCATCTGTATTGAACATAAATAGGCTTTCCTTGTCATTATTCCTTGAACAGTACAATGTTACAACTATTTACATAGCACTTATATTGCAAAAGATATAGCAATCTCTAGGTGATTTCAAGAATATGGAAGTATGTGTGGAAGTAAATAACTTGAACATCCTTGAATTCCGGTATTGGGAGGGGTCCTGGAAACAACTCCCCTGAGTACTAAAGGGCAACTACAATAACTTGACGGCAGAGAAGCCTGTCAAATACCAGCCTAATCAAGAGACAGAGGAGTACACGATCAGTAAAGGAACAAATTGAAAATACATGCTACCTGAAATTACACAATAAGAAGAAAAGAGTATTACTTCTGTGGTGTACCTATAAAAGATACTTACCCTGAATGGAAACATGAAGAAACATCAGACAAACTCAAATTGAGGGACATTCTAGAAAATAAATTGCCTATAATTTTCAACAGTATCAAGGGCATGAAAGTCCTTTTTAATTTTTTTAATGTTTATTTTTTAGCTTTAGGTGGACACAATATCTTTATTTTACATTTATGTGGTACTAAGGATTGAAGCTAGTGCCTCGCGCATGCTAGGCGAGCGCTCTACCACTGAGCCACAACGCCAGCCCCTGAAAGTCCTTTTTGAAATTTGACTTTTTTTAATTTTTAAAATAAAACTTTTTAAAATTTGACTCCTTCAAAATTTAATTTATTAAATTATTCAAAAAATGCAGTAGGCTGGATGCGGTGGTGCCTATAATCCCAGCTGCTCAGGAGGCTAAGGCTGGAGGATCACAAGTTCAAAGCCAGCCTCAACAAAAGCAAGGCACTAAACAACTCAGTGAAATCCTGTCTGTAAATAAAATACAAAAAAAAAAAAAAAAAAACACCCTACATATATACATACATACACATACAATGGGGCTGGGGATGTGACTCAGTGGTCAAGGGCCCCCAAGTTCAATCCTCAGTACCCTCCCACCAAAAAAAGTAGCACAAAGGAGGGAAAATAAAAAGAAAAAAGCATAGTTAGTGATTACTAAAATTAAATGAATGCTTTTAATGAATCTTTTGCTCCATACTTATCATTTCTTAAGGTGATGATATCTGAATGATAAAATAAAAAATTCTACCACTTTAATGTCACTTTAATTTTTACATATCACAGTCAGTTGCAATTTTAAACATCACAATACTTTTTTTGTATGTAAATCATAAACTGAGGGACATTCTAGAAATCAAACTGCATATAATTTTCAACAGTGTCAAGGACATGACATTTCTTGTTTTCTTTTCATGATTCTAATTTTTAGTTACTGTTTACTATTTATTATACTGTGTGAGATATTTGAGTTTTCACCATTTTGCTTTAAGTAACAAATACCTGTCTGAAAATCGGAAGTCTTTCATTTTCTATACGCTTAACATTTAAACAAATTTCACTTTTATACTTGTATATATTCTTTTTGCCCCTTTTAAAAAACATGCTGTGGAAATGAGCACTATTCCTTTTGAAATTACTTGCATACAAACATTTTTTATACCACACACAGATTTTTAGGTATCAAATGATACACAAACTGCTAAATGTTCAGTTTCCAAAGCAGCAGCATCTTTGAGAAGGTATGAATAATTATTTGAATATTTTGTATCATTAATTCTTAAAAACCATGCTTTTAGGCAGACAATTAATTGTAATGGGATATTGGCCACCTCAATATCACTTCAATTCAAACATGGCATTTTATCTCATCTTTTTCACACTGTTCTCCCCAATAAGATTTTATTGAAAAGCAAGGGTGGTACTGCTTTTAACAACTGAAAACTGATTCAGACTTCCATGTTGAATCCACAGTTGGTGATGTCTTTATGGTTTAGATATGAGGTGTCCTCCAAATGCTGATGTGAGAGACAACACAGGAATGTTCAGAGATAAAATGATTCAATTATAAAAGCTGAGAACTAATCAGTGGGTTAATCTATTTGATAGATTAATAATTTAAAAGGACTAACATACTAGGTTAACTGTGGGCAACTAGGGTGTGGCTGGAGGAAACAGGTCACTGAGGACATGCCTTTTGAGATTATATTTTGTCCTCTGTGCCCTAACCTCTCTCTTCTTCCTTGCTGACATGAGCGGAGCAGCTTCCTACCACCACATCCTTCTGCCAAGATGTTCTGACTTACCTCTAACCCAGAACAATGGAGTGGTCAACCATGGACCAAATCTCTGAAACCATAAGTCAAAACACAAACTTTTCCTTCTCTCAGTTGTTCTGGTCAGGTATTTGGCAAAGTGACAAAAAGATGACTGACATACAATGGCAGAGGGAAATGAATCAATCAATTAAAAGACCCTGAACTGACACAGGGGTTAGAATTAGGAATCAAAGCAATGAAATTAGTGTTATAACTCTATTCTACACACTTGAAAAGTTATGCAGAGTGCTTGCCTAGCATGCACAAGGTCCTGGGTTCAATCCCCAACTCTGCCAAAAGAAAAAAGTAAAGCAGAGGCTTGGAAGACATAAAAAACAGTGCTATCCAACAGACTCCTGGGATTGTAGAAATGTGATTTCTATGCTGTTCTATGATAGCAACTAGTCACAAGAGGCTAGTGAGCATCTGAAATGTAGCTATTACAACTGAGAAACTGAATTTTTAAATGTAGTCACATATAGCTACTGGTTGCCATGTTGGACATCACAGTTCTAGAGGATCTCTGGGAAAAGATAGCATCCTAGGGAGATTTTAAGTATAATAACTGTCCCTATTCCTCTTAGATTAAAATGATTACTTTTTTCTTTTCAGTACTGACAATTGAACTCAGAGCCCCACATGATAGGAAAGCACTCTACCACTGAGATATATTCCCAGCCCTTTTTAAATTTTATTTTGAGACAGAGTTTCACTAAGTTGCCTCTACAGACCTGAACTTGTAATCATCCTGCCTCTGTTAAGATTACTACACAAAGCTAATGGGAAATGATTTTTAAATATCTGGGAAACGAATTCTCTGGAATAATTATACTAACTATTAAAAAGGAAACAGTATAACTGGAAAAGCAACAAAGATTTTATTGTTAGAACAGGGACATATATTTCACATAAAATATAAAGAAGCCTAGATAATGTGAAAAGCACATTTCTAGAATTAAGAAGATAAAATTAGGGCTGGGGATGTGGCTCAAGCGGTAGGTAGCGTGCTCTCCTGGCATGTGTGGGGCTCTGGGTTCGATCCTCACACCACATAAAAATAAAGATATTGTGTCCACCTAAAACYAAAAAATAAATATTTTTTTWAAAAAAGAAGATGAAATTAACATATAGTAAATGTACACAGTCAAGTGTTTGGTTTAATAATTTTTTAGGGACCATTTTAAGGGCAAATTTTCCTAAAGTCATCTCTGAAGATTTATACTTCTACCCATGTGATTGAAAACAAAACATATAAACTATCTACAACGACTGCCATTAACATAATCACCTCTCAAATGTTATGCTTCAGGATATGATCTGAATATTTTTAAAAATTTTAAAAATGTCTTTTAAATAAGGGACCCCAAAGTATTTGATATTCACCTGACTAACAAGTTATGTCCATGAGCTGGAAAAGAAGTTACATGCAGATATGTGCAGTTCAGACAACAATAATGAAAGAAACACTAATCTATTAACTTCCTAGGACTGTCAGAATAAAAGGAAATATGGTACATTTTATTTATATAAACAGGTACCATCTACTTTGATCTCAGTTTGGTGTTGGACTTTGAATAAAAGAAATCTCAATTCCATTTTATCAAACATTAATGCACAAAGATTGCACAAAAGTAATAAAATGGAAAGGGTATTAGGAAGAAATCAAAGCTATCTAAGAATAAAGTAGGTCATTTGGGTGGCTCTGGTTGCCAAGCAACTGGTATTTCTGTTTCCCATTGGAATAATTTAATCATTAAAAAGTTTTACTAAACTATTTTTTCTTCTTCAAGATTTATACTTCAATTTATACTTTATAATTTATAACATATTCAGGAAACACACTAATGGGAAAACTGTAAGACTTTTTTAAGGAAAACTTAAACTTTACTGAAAGACGTAAAAGAAAACAATGTAACTTCTTCCTCTAAAGGATCACAGAGAAATAGAAATGTGTTAGTTATTCCCAAATTAACCTACAAAATCTATCCTATTCCAATTGCGTTTTTTAAGGAGCAGATATTACCAAAATAATTCTGTGATATATCTGGAGAAATCAGAAATACTGATGTTAATTTCTGAAGAGAGGGTATATTATCCTATAATATACTAAGTTATAGTATGCGCTGAAGCAGGAATGCAATAGAATGGAAGCTAGTCCAGTTAGAGATGGAGCAGCACACACGAGGATAGACCAAGCCATGCAAGCAGAATGCAGACATGTCTAATGAAGGTGTCTGTCTGTCTGTATATTGATAGAAAAACTAGAATAGTAAGTGGGTTATTAAAATAACAATGTTTGGGGCTGGGACTGTAGCTCAGTGGCAGAGTGCTTGCCTAGCATACATGAGGCACTGGGTTCAATCCTCAGCACCACATAAAAATAAGCAATAAAATAAAGGCATTCTGTCCATCTACAACTATAAAAAGTTAAAAACAATAACAACAACATTGCTGCCCTTATTCCCCACATCAAAAAAACTTCATAATAGAACAAAGATTTAAACATCAAAATAAAAGGAACCAAAACATGAAAATATTAGCATATTGCTTGTTTGTTTAAATCTGGGTGTGCTAGGTTTTTCTGAGCATGGTACCAAAGTCAGACTGCATCATGACAATCTTAACAAGAGTTTTTACTATACATATAAAAAATATTTTTAAAACGTATACGAAAAAACATTTATAGAAACAGAAAGTAGAATCGTAGACAGAGGCTGATGGGAAGAATAAGTGGGAAGTTATTATTTAATGGATAGGAAATTTCAGTTTTAGATGATGAATATGTTCTGAAGATCAGTGGTGGTGGTGGGTTATACAATAATGTGAACGTGCTTAATGCCACTAAAGTGCACATTTAAAAATGTGGTGAATAATTTGGCATTAGGTATATATATTTTCTTAATATTTTTTATTAGTCATTGATGGATATTTATTTATTTATATGTGGTACTGAGAATCAAACCCAGTGCCTCATACATAYTAGGCAAGCACTCTACCATGGAGCCACAATCCCAGCCCGATATTTAAAAACAAATTTTAAATGGGTGGAAATGGCATAAATAGAAATCACTATAAATAAATATATTAAAAATGATCAGGAGTGATGGGAGGGGAGGGGAGAGGAAGGGGGGAAAGGAAGGACAGCAGAATAAAATAGTCATTATTATTGCTGTATGTATATACGTGACTGCATGACCAATGTGATTCTGCAACCTGTACACTCAGAAAAATAAGAAATTATACCCTATCTGATTCAAATGTATGATATGTCAAAATCATTGTACTATCATGTGTAACTAATTAAAACAAATTTAAAAAAAAATTTTTTTTTAAATGATTAGGGTTGGGATTGTGGCTCAGCGGGAGAGTGCTTCCCTCACGCGTATGGGGCACTGGGTTCGATCCTCAGCACCATATAAAAATAAATAAATAAATAGAATAAAAGTATTGTGTCCATCTGCAACTAAAAAAAAATTTTTAAAAATGATCAAATAAAAGTAAAACAATAAGTTATAATTTATCACCTATCATATTAACAAAGATAAGCAGGAAAACCACTTGCTTATACATTATCAAGARCACCCTAAATTGGTATATAATCTTTACAGCAAGCATTCATGCAACATATTGAAATATAAAATATAATCTAATAAGATAATGTTGGAAGTGTGCTAAAATATGTTCTTGGAGTACTATTTGTGAAAGCATTAAATAAGAAACAACTTCAATGTCTAAGAAAAAGTAATTGGATATACGATGGCTTTCCTATATAGAGGAATAATAGGTAATTGTTGAAAACTTATGAAGTACCTCTGATTTGTGGTTATGAAACCATGTGCATAACATATAGAGAAAAAAAATAAAAGGTTTCTAAACATCAGAATTCCATTTGTATAAAATAGATAACACAGATACCAGAAAATGGAAGGGCACATACTAAAATATTAGGTTTACTACTTATTAGTTATCTCTGGACAACTAGATGATTTTTTTTCTTTAACTTCTCTAGATTGAGTGTTTTACCATGTGTACATATTGTAACTGTAATTTATAAAGGCAATTTTTTCATTTTACAAAATCAGTTCTAAGCCCTGGGGATACAGCTCAGTGATAAAGATCATGCAAAGGCAAGGCCCCAGGTTCAAACCCTATCATACGTGTGGGGGGTAAAATAAATTAAATGAAATCTATTCTATTTTAAAATATCAAATGCTGCCAGACTCGGTGGAACCCATCTGTAATCCCAGGTACTCCAGAGGCTGAGCCAGGAGAATCTCAAGTTCAAGATCAGCCTCAGAAACTTGGGGAAACCTGTCTCAAAGTAAAAGGTCGTAGGATGTAGCTCAGTGGTAAAGCACCACTAGGTTCAATTCCCAGTACAAAAAGAAAGAAAGAAAAATTAAATACTGCACTTATTCTAGTTTATATTATATGCCCTGTGTCTTAAAACAAGGATTATGTGTAGGAAATGCCCATTGTGATCAATGTGGAAAACTAAAACTCAATAAATTTAAATACAGTTTGCATTGTAATGCCTTTTAACACAGAATCAAAGACTTTTAAGTTCTTTGTATAGAGCAAGAATAAAGAGGCCAAATATGCTCTTTACRTAATAAAACCCACTTAAAAACTACTTGCTTTGTAGATAAAATTTTCCTATCTTTAAGTAMCTTCAAATTACTACTTTTATCTATTTAAAAATTAACCTGGAAGGACACAAAAGACTCAATATGAAATACATTAAAATAAAAATAGAAAAGTAAGGTAATAAACATTGATAGACTACATTCCACATTCATCTTAAGGAGTCAAAAATCACTTAATTCTAAACACATTCTCATTAACATCTTATATAGGTTACTCAACATTACAATATAAGCATCACACTCAACTTCTCAAATCCTTTGCTATAAATTCTGTAAAAAGGAGGAGTTAAAATGAATGACTTCTAAAGTTCCTTTCAGATTTGAAATGTTAAAAGGTTCATAACTATAGAAAATTAATTTTAAGTTATGATATCATATATTTTTACTCCTATTTTTAAAGATGTCTTAAATACTTACAGCTTGATTAGGCAGATTGTCAGTCTTAAGTTCTCTGTGATTGGAATACTGAATATAAACTGGCTGGCTTCGAAGTTGAGGAGTAACAGGAGTGTAATAATTCACCATAGTAACTGCAGCTTCCTCAGAAGCCATTTCTAAGAAAGCCTGCAACAAGCATAAGAAGGTAAGGGGGAAAGCTCGTCTTTTAAAATAAGACAGTTCACTATTTTATCAGTCTAACTCACTCTAAAACTCATGCATTCTCAACAGAAATAAATTTCCTCAAAAAGATGAAAAATCTTTTGTTCCAAAATATATCATGGATGGTAAATAGAAATATACTGGAAAAGCTGGGTTTGAGAAAGGTTTGGACTTGAGAAACTGTCAGTTGATTAAATAATTTCATGTGTTTTATCTTCCTATTATTTTTGCTTCTTCTAAAATTTAAAAACAATTAAAAAGGTTAAAATAAATATATAAATCAACATTATAAATGGATGTTTTCAGAGACTGTGATTTAATAGTTTTCTGTGAAAACTCTGGGGCTAATGGGCTTTATTCTACATCAAGATACTGAAATTTCATGAGGCAATAAGGAATTTTTTTTTTTAAGTCTCAAATGCCCTTTAGAGGAAAAAAGGAAGGAGAGAGCATTGTACTAACTATTTAAATTCTTGGTTTTTTTTTTCTTTCCTTTTCTTTTGGTGGTGGTTGTGAAACAACAGCACAAATAAAATTAAATTGAGCGTTCATTTTTCAATAGTTATTATTTCATACTTTGCCAACTAGAAACCAACTTATCTGATCTGATAGCAAGAACGAGAGTTGTCAAGACTTGGTAGAAAGGGAACCTATATCTAGCTATGACAATTTCGATAACTTAGAGGTCATTAACACCTCTGAACCTTAGATTTCCTCATCTAAAATATGAAGTACTGCCCAATATGATCTTTAAGTCTCCTCACATTTTAGGTAGAATTCCTGTTAGGTGATCAGTCTGAGAGTTTACAGGAAAGAACTATTGGAAAGCATCTTTTTCGAGTGGTGGTGCCCAGAATTAGTTTGTACTTACTTTACAAATATGTTCTCAATCAACACTCATGTTACACTTTGAAGCAAAAGTTACATGTAAGTATTCAGAGTTCTTTTCCCTATTTTATATATTTATATTATATGCTTATACACATGCACACACATAAACACTATATCTACACATCTGTATGTTACATATATTTCTTGTGTGGCATCATAATAAATTACTACTAATCAAAATCAACACAAACCTCTAGTTATATAACCCAACTATTTTTTCACTATAAAACATTTAATTAGCAAGCATACAGCAACCACTTCAACTTATGTATAAAACACTTAAAATTTATAAAACATACATTTATTAACAATAAAATTTACTGAACACAGAAAATGGCAAATATCTATAAATCCAACTATGCCTTTGTTAATAGTTATCTTAACTGTCAGATGTTTTCATATGAAATCCAGTAAAGGAATATCAAATATATAAATGTTAAATATGATGTATAATGGTATCGACCAAATGTCACAACTGAACCAATTAGATGTTTCAAATTAACAATAATTTCCCAAGAGGTAGTTATGTTATTAGCCCATGAGGGTGAATCAAATATCACAAGTCAAGGAATCAATTCACAATAAACATAAAATTCCACTATCTTAAAGAGACAAAAGTGGCTTCAAGTCATTATACATCTAAAAGATATAAATGTCCATGATATTCTTTAAAGTATCGGTAATAGACTTTTTCTAATATTTATAAGACAGGAGTATAAAAATGATTAAGGCAAGGAAAAAAAAAAGCTGGGATTCAAACTCCAAAGCTTCTTCTCAGCAAAAAAAAAAAAAAAAAAAATCAGTGAGGTGAACAGAGACTACAGCTTGGGAGCAAATTTTTACCACACATACATCAGATAGAGCACTAATCTCTAGTATATATAAAGAACTCAAAAATCTTAACACCAAAAAACCAAATAATCCAATCAATAAATGGGCCAAGGAACTGAACAGACACTTCTCAGAAAGTGATATACAATCAATCAACAAATATACAAAAAAATGCTCAACATCTCTAGCAATTAGATAAATGCAAATCAAAACTAATATTTTATCTCACTCCAGTCAGAATGGCACCTATTAAGAATACAATCAACAGTATGTGTTAGCAAGGATGTAGGGAAAAAGGCACACTCATACACTGCTGTTGGGACTGCAAAATGGTACAGCCAATATGGAAGGCAGTATGGAGATTCCTTTGAAAACGTGGAATGGAACAACCTTTTGACCCAGCTATCTCTCTCCTGAATTTATACCAAAAGAACTTAAAAGCAGCATACTACAGGGACACAGCCACATCAATGTTTATTGCAGCACAATTCACAATAGCTAAATTGTAGATCCAACCTAGATACCCTTCAGTAGATGAATGGATAAAGAAAATGTGATATATATACACAATGGAATATTACTCAGAAATAAAAGAGAATAAAATCATAGCATTTGCAGGAAAATGGAGTTGGAGAATATAATGCTAAGTGAAGTAAGCCAATCCCAAAAAACCAAATGCCACGTGTCTTCTCTGATATAACGATGCTGATTCATAATGAGGATGAGGAGGAAGCATGGGAGGAATAGAAGAACTTTAGATAGGTCAAAGGATAGACAGGGGAAGGGGAGCATAGGGGTGGGAAAGATGGTGGAATGAGATGGACATCATTACCCTAAGGTACATGTATGGAAACACATATGGTGTGACTCTACTTTGTATTCAACCAGAGACATGAAAAGTTGTGTTCTATTTGTGAAACATGAATTGAACTGCACTCTGCCATCTCATATAACTTATTAGAATAAATAAAATTTTTAAAATTTTTTTAAAAAAGAAAAAAGTTATGGCAATAGTTTCTACCTGGTTTTTAATCGCCATTCAATAAAGAATTTGTAAACATTATTCCAATAATATTCTCCATAAGGGAAGAAAGTATATTTTTACTAACTCTTTGCTGAGTGTTAAGAAATAGTTCAATTTCTAACATCAGTCACATAAAGGAAAAGTTTAACAATGTTTTTGGAATATGTGATTCTTGAAATAGGAAGGGTTGTTTTTTTTTTCCCCTAAGAGTATACAGAATCTAGACTTTTATATGTAAAAATAAATTTCTCACATGAAATCCAGTAATAATTTATGATTTTCCAAAGTAGCTAGTCAAAGAATTCAGTCTTCATCATGTGGGGTGGAGAGACAACTACAAGTCATTGCCCGGAGGACTTAAAATAGCCCCTCTCTTCCCCCATCATTCCAAATGCTCTGGGAAAGGTTATAGCCCATAATTGGCTCAGTAATCATGAAGTGTATTACTAAATAGGTATTTTCTAAACAGAATTTATGATTTAAGAAAAGTAATTAACAGGTACAGTTAGCTTACAGATAAACCCCAGAATAAACAGTAAAGACAAGAAAAAAAAATTGTGACCTTGCCTACTGCCTATCACAACCAATATTAGAGATGATCATGCTTGCTTTTTTCAAATCACACAGACCACAGGATTTCCAGCAGTAGCAACTCTTGTTTAACTCTTGTTAAATAATAAAGAAAATAGCCCCCATGAACTAGTCTCCAATAGATGTAAGAAATGTGCACACATGAGGAATACATACTAGAGCATGTTTGTAACCTCTCTGAATCTTAGTAACCTCATCTGAATTAAGTGGGGATATTAATCAAGCAGTTTACTAGAGGAGGACTGAATCAGACATGATCCAATTACTTTCATACCCACACTTGACTATTTTTTTGATTTTTTAGGTACCAGGAATTAAACCCAGGGACACTTAACTACTGAGCCTCATCCCCAGCCCTTTATGTATTTTACTTAGAGACAGGGTCTTTCTCAATTGCTTAGGGCCTCACCAAGTTGCTGAGGCTGGCTTTCAACTCACAATCCTTCTGCTTCAGCTTCCTGAGCCGCTGGGATTATAGGTGTTCCACACCACAGCTGGCTCTATTTATTTATAAGTGTAGTCATGTTTCTAAAACTTTTATTTACAAAAAGAAACAACAGTGACATATCACAATGTACTATAAATTTTATAGTCTAGATTCCATGTCCTCTTCTCTATAATAATGCTTAGCACTAAAGATTTTCAGGATGGGGATGTGGCTCAAGCGGTAGCGCGCTCGCCTGGCGTGCGTGCGGCCCGGGTTCGATCCTCAGCACCACATACAAACAAAGATGTTGTGTCCGCCGAAAACTAAAAAATAAATATTAAAAAATTCTCCCCCCCCCTCATTTAAAAAAAAGGGGGGGGGGGGGAACTAAAGAATACATCCCAGTGAGGTCTCATTTTGGAACAAGAAAGCACGCAATCATTCAAATCAATATAACAAGTATTGTATTTTTGTTATGGTCATGAGAGAATCAAATTTTCTTAGTTATTTTCAGAAAAACTTATTTTTTTCAGGACATTGAAACAGGCAAAAAATTTGGGGTTAAAGTCCAAAAAAGCAAAAATCAGACAAATGAGATTAGATCAAGTTTTTAAAAAGCATCTGCAAAGCAAAGGAAATTATCAACAATATCTATAATATATAAGGAACTCCAAAAACTCAACAGCAAAAAAGAAAAAAATTAAATAATAGACAATAGACCTAAACAGATATATCTCAGAAGGAAACATACAAATAGTCAAAGGTATCTTAAAAATGTTCAACATCGGGGCTGGGGCTGTGGCTCAGTGGTACAGTGCTCGCCTAGCACATGCAGGGCCCTGGGTTAGAGCCTCAGCACCACATAAAAATAAAAAAATAAGATAATGTGTCCAACCACAACTAAAAAAAGTAAAATATTAAAAAAAAGTTCAACATCAAAGAAATGCAAACTGGAAAAAAAAATGAGAGGCTACTTCATTCCATTATCAAAAAATAACAAGTGCTGGCAAGAATGTGGAGAAAAGAGAACGCCTGTACACTTGTTGGTTGGAATGTAAATTAGCTCACTCATTATGGAAATCAGTATAGAGATTACTTTAAAAATTAAAAACAGAACTATCATATGATCTAGCAATCCTACTACTGAGTATATATCCAAAGGAAAGGAAACCCATATGTCAAAGACATCTGCACTTCCATGTTTATTGCAGCACTATTCACAATAGTCAAGAAACAGAAATAACCAAAGCATCCATCAAAGGATGGATGTATCTTAAAGAAAATGTGAAACATACATAATGGAATACCATCTAGCCATAAAAAAGAATGAAATTCTATCATTCGTGACAACACAGATGGAACTAGAAATCATTATGTAAATGAAATACACCAGACACAGAAAACAAGTACTGAATGATCTTATGGAATATAAAAAACTGAACTCACAAGCTGAGTGGAACAGTGGTTAACAGAGGGTGGGGAGTGTAGGGGAAGAAGGTATGGGGAAAGGCTGATCAGTGGGTGGGTATTAAGTTATTGTAAGTAGAAATAAGTAGTTCTGGTGTGCTATGTTGAACAGTAGAGTGACTACAGATAATGATAATGTGCAGCATATTTCAAAAAGCTAGAAGAAATGATTTTAAATGTTTTCACCATAAAGAAATGATCAATCAGGAAATATGCTTAATCTGATTTAAACAACACACAACATATACATGTACCAAAAATCACATGGTACCCCATAAATATGTATGATTCTTATATACCATATATATGTATATGTGTGTATGTGTGTGTGTGTGTGTGTGTGTGTGTGTGTATAGAATTTTTTTAAGTGCAGGGCTGAGAATCAAAACCTACAGCTTTTGTACATGCTAGGCAAGCCACTCTCTGAGCTGCATACACTCTCAGTGCCAATTTTTGTATTATTGTGTATCAGTTAAAATATAACTAATTTTAAAAAACCCTATTAACTTACCAAATGAAGCCTCTCTTATATCTCCCTCAAATTATTAAATAAATTACATATTAATTCTACAACTGAATATACACACTGTTAAATGAGTTTACAGGAAGTCATTGTTTTGTACTAGCCCCCTACACAAGGTAGATAAATTTCCAAAATAACAAGTTTCTTTTTCTTTTCTTTTTTTCCTTTTGGTATTAGGGATCGAACCCAGGGCCTTGTGCATGCAAGGCAAGCACTCTACCAACTGAGCTATATCCCCAGCCTCCAAAATTACAAGTTTTTAACAGAAGGTTCACAGCAACCCATTAGCATGAGCTCATTCTACCCAAACATGTTTACCCTCTGCTTTAACTCTTACAATAATCCACTTAGTAAGAAAGTGTTGTTTCCACCTTAAAAATGCTAAACCATTCTATCATGTCCAGCTTAACACTCATACTATCTTATAGAATTAAGTATTGATTAATTCTAACATCTCACATAAAAGTCAATTAGACCTTAAAAATCGTTGTAATTTTGTCTTGTGACAATACTATACATTTCTATCTAGATTTTGGGAAACTTCACTGTTCTTTGTCAAATATGGTGTGATTTATATCCTCTCTATCAGGGTCTTCTAGTAATCACAGGATGTTTTCATAAACCATCTTATGAGTAAAATACAAAAATATTTCTTGTTAGGAAGGAAAATGTTTATAAATCAACAAGTGGTAAATACTATTATTTTTGCATTAATATTTGTTGATTCCTGGTATACCAAAAAAAAAAAAACGAAACTCTTCTACTTTAAAAATTAATGATCATAAAATTTAGAAAATAAGAAAAGTTGAAAAATTATCTGTAATACACCCAGAGATAATCATTCTGTGTTACTCTTTAAATATTACATACCTGGCTTTTTCCTTTCAACATCAAAAGATTAGTTACTTTGCCAAATGGTAGACCTAATGATATGACCTCTGCTTCGGTGACATCACATGGAATTTTGCGAAGATGGAGAACACGGGAAGGTGAACAGGGAGGTCTATCTCCTTTAAATTTCTTGTTGTCATTCCCATTAGCTAAAAAACAAGATTTTTAAAAATTACTAAAACTAATATGGTTGCTATACTACATCAACTATATTGTCATAATTGATCCTCTAGAGGTTTAGAATGTGAAATTCAGAAAACTATAGGCATTGATGGGGGGGAGAGAAGAATGGGAAACAAAATCAACCACATTTCTATGAGTCTTTTTTCTAGTTTTTTTTTTTTCCACTGTGAATATTAAGCCATTTATTTATTTTTCCAACTCTTTATATCTAAAGACAGCATCTAACTAAGCTGCCCTAACTGGCCTGGAACTTCAGATTCTCTTCCCTCAGTCTCTTGAGTGGCTAAGATTACAGGTATGCTCCCTGACTTCATCTTTAACTTCAAGAAAAAGTATTAGTATAAATGAAATACATCATTTCAAATACAGTCATGCGCCACATAATGATGATTCTTCTGTCAAGAAATGGACCACATACAGGCTAATGATCTCATAAGATTATAAGGGAGCTAAAATATCTCTATCACCTAGTGACATTTTAACACAATCCATTATTCATGATTGTAATGATGCTGGTGTAAACAAACCTACTGTGCTTCCAGTCATGTAAAAGTATATCACATACTATTACATACAGTAGACAATACTTGTAAAATAAATGACTTACTGATTTACATAGATTACAATTTTATCATCATTTAGGGGTATACTCTTTATACTTACAAAAACAAAAACAAAAAGTTAACTGTAAAACAGCCACAGGCAGGTCTTTTAGAAAGTATTCTAGAAGAAGGCACTGTTATCATGAGATGAAGGTTCCATGTTACTACACATGAAGACCTTTCAGTGGGACAAGATGTGGAAGTGGAAGACAAATGAAATTGAAGATCCTGACCCTTACATTAAGTAAAATAAAAACTTTTTAAAAATATGAAAATCCCATCATAAGTAAATTAAGAAAAATATTTTTGTACAGCTAAACAATGGGCCTATACAGTCAATCAAAAGCTTTTTTAAAAAAGCTAAAATTTATAAAGAAAATGTTATGGTAATCTAAGGTTAATTTATTATTGAAAAAAAAAATTTTTTTTTTTTTTACATATTTGGCAGACCCTAAATGTACCATGTTCACAAAGGTACATTAGTGTACAATAATGTCTTAGGCCTTTACATTCACTTTTTACTCACTGATTCATTCAGAGCACCTTCAGACCCGCAATCTCCATTTGGGATAAATGCCCTAAACATCTTTTCTATGTTTAGGAACAGAAATACCATTGTATTACAAATGCCTGTAGGATTCAGTATAGTAATAGTGCTATACATATTTGTAGCTGAAGGCAGAAGCTATTTCCACTGGCAGGTGGGGTCTGCTGAAACTGCAGGTATCTGCATCTGAGATACATGCTGTAGCTCTTAATGACAGGCTATGCCTTCCAGTGTTGAAACAGACCCCAGCAGCTCACTATCGATTTCTTCTTTCTAGGTTCTTGTGAATTTGAAGAATGAAATCCACAGACAAGGATGAGTGAGTATAATAGAATTTATTCAAGTATATGTAGAAAAAGAACTCCTGCAGGACCAAAGAAGACCAGACAGGGATTGCCACCTAAGTGTTAGTCTAGTAGTTTATAGAGTAAAGAGCACTTGGGTCAATGCTACTGGTCCAAATTTATGCTAATTAAATTTTGGAAAAGTATTAATGCTGTTGGTTAACTCTTGAGTCAGAACTTCCATTCAAGTCTGTTCCACTTCCGCTTTTTCATAGCTCATCTGTAATCCCAGGCTCAGGGATCTAGAAGAGGTGCCAGGTGGGCATGCCCTGGCTTGCCCCAGCTAGCATGGCAGTCTCAGGACCTGTGAGCCAGAACCTGTGCTTCCCACCAGCACAGCAATCCACCAGGGTTGTAGCTCTACCACCAATTCTGGAAAAGATTATTGGGCTGGCTGTGTGGCTAGGCAGCTAGGGGTCATGTCATAATCTCCATTCAGGGAAAGGGCCCTATACAAGTATATCTTTTCTATGTTCAGGTACACAATACTATTGTGCTACAAATGCCTGCAGTATTCAGTACTGTAATGTGCTACACATATTTGTAGCTAAAGATAATGAGCTAAACCATATATCCTAGGTATGTAGTAAGTAACCTATACCATGTAGATCTGTGTAAGTATACACACTATGACATTCCCTTAATAATGATGAAATAGCCTATAATGCATTTCTCTGAAAGCATCCCCATTTTAATTAGGGTACTTCTAAATACTCAAATTTTTGTTATGAATAGAGAACAATATTTATGGCTTTAAAATTTTTTTCTAATTTGTTCAATATTTATAAACAAATAACTATACAATAAATTTTAGGAAAGATTATGAAAAAAATTTATATTTATCACATCTAAGATCTGAATTTGAGCTGTTTATGAAAATTAGACTCATTTCTTAGGCATTAAAAGTTTTATTAATTTATTATTTAATTCATTTATTGATATATAATAATCCTATTCATTATTACAGTAGTTCGTTTATTTTTTGGTATTTGGGATTGAACCCAGGAGTGCTTTACCAGTGAGCTAAGTCCACAGCCCTTTTTATTTTTTGTTTTGAGAAAGGCTCTTCCTAACTTATTAAATTGTTGAGGCTGCCCTTGAACTTGTGACCCTCCTGCCTCAGCCTTTCAAACTGCTCATATTATACGCATACACTACTACTCTGGATTCATTATTACAGTAAATCTTAACATAAGTGCCACCTTGTCAAAGATGCACAGTTTCAACACCATACCAGACTTACTTCATCAGAAAGTTCAGGGCTGGTACCCAGCCTTCTACATTTAAAAATGTCCTCCATGTAATTATGATTCACTCTGAAGTTTGTAAAATGCTGCTATAAAATAAATTCATTATCCTAGCACATAGCTAAGTTTTGTTTAAATCCTATTGGTTTGAACATTGACATAAGTAGAACTGACAAGCCTGTAAGGAATACTAAAGTTTATGTAGATAAGATTCAGAATTTTTTTCCAGAAATAGCATCATGTAAGACTTCATATAAATTATTTAAAAGCCAAAAGTTCCACCACAATGCTTTATAATAAAAATGCCATATTTTTCACTATTTGGAGGAAAAATTTCTTTTCAAACACCTGCGAATACCTTTTTTCTAATGAAAGAATAATATCTGTGATCCTAAATTTAAAAATTTCATGAGAACCACATAAAAATCATATACGATAGATTGGACCCACATGTATGGCACAGAACTCAATGTGTTCACAGCACTTGCTCCCAAATTCTCTCTGTAAATGTATGTAGCATCTTATCCAGCACCAACACTATTTATTCTTAGTAGTCCATATAGTCTTCATATAGTAAATGCGGCAGTCAGATTATGAATGAGACTCAAACATTTTTATATCAATTAATCTGGGAACAAAGGATTCCTTCTCCTCTATTTCATCAATTACCAAGAAATTCACCTTTTTCTCCTCAAAAATCACCACTGATTATATGCTTCCATTTTCTTTTTTCTTTTTATATTTTTTTTTTAGTTGATGGACCTTTATTTTATTTATTTGTATGTGGTGCATTGTATGTGGAGAATCGAACCCAGTGCCTCACACATGCTAGGCAAGCGTGCTACCACTGAGCCACAACCCCAGCCCCAACTTGCATTTTCACTCGCAATATCACCAACCTCACCTTTTGATCTTGTCTTATTTCCTGTGAGCGCAGTCCCATGTTCCTAGGATTCAGTATCACATCAACCTAACTCAAAGAGTTTATCATGTCTTAACCTATTCTAGAAACTGACAAGTTTCCAAATACCAATACATGTCCTTTAGTTTGCAGTGTTTAAAAACTGCCTCATTAGAGTCTCAAAAATATCATTATAGTCTAAAGTTAGTTTTTTTAAACCACAAAAACCTCAAAGTATGTCTTAAAATTCCTAAAAAAAAAACTACGTAACTTGACACTGACACTGAAATTTTTCAAAGTATGAGCAGGCTTATGTGGATTAACAATAACAACAAAAGAACAATGTGAAGGAATATTTTTTTTTTTAATTCTAAGTGTCTCTCAATGTCATTATTTGGCAAAATTGGGAAAATGCTCAAAATTAATTGAAAATGTTATCATATGAAATCTAAAAAAGATGTCTAAGTCATTTAGATCATCAGAAAAAGTTTGTATCTGAAGATTTGATAATTTCAAAATGGAGAATGTATGTAATTATAGCCATAATTAAGAAAAGCCAACAAGAAACAAGGAAATTTTAATCCACCAAGCACACAAATTTGAAGAATTATTCTCTGTACAAGAGAATAGATACAATTTTAATATGAAAGTAAGCATTTGAAAAACTTGTATATTTTGTTGCATTCTGTCAGAAAACATACTGGAAACTATCAAATGCATACTACATGTTAGTCATGTTCTGAAAGAGTTATGTGGAAGTGTTTTTTTTTWAATTCATATATTCTTACTTCAAAACTGGATATTACAAAACTGGAGGAATTTGTCAGGAAAACTACCTTAGATGTTATGGATTTTTTTTTTAACAATTAAATTTATGAGGGTATACTTTTAGATATAATAAAAATCCATCCACATCTTAAGTRTAGATTTTGATGAGTTCTGACATGTGTATACCAATATGACAACCACAAAAATTAAGATGTAGGATATTACCATCAAATATCCCAAAATGTTTCCTAAAGACATTTTGCAGTTTGTAGGCCTTCCAAAGTCCCCAGACCCAGATAATCTGACTCTATTCTGTTTAATTAATCTAAACGTCCATCATTTGCCACTACCACATTTCCTTGATTTCTAAAGTTTTATAACAATTCTTGAAATCAGGTTCTTTTTTAAAAATATTTTTTAGTTATTGATGGACCTTTTTTTTATTTATTTGTATGTGGTGCTGAGACTCAAACCCAGTGCCTCATGCATGCTAGGCAAGCACGCTATCACTGAGCCACAACCCCAGCCCTGAAATCAGGTTCTTATTTCAGAAAAAT